AGTTACCAATTATCAAAGCAAGCGGCGAACTTGCCGTTTTCAGGAAGAAGTCAAAAGTTGACGCCGACGGACGACGAGCGAAAGATGCCAGACGACGGACAGACAACTAGTAATGTGAACAGCTCCGCTCTGTCGACTAATTCGACAGTAGAGCTAGAAAACGATAACAAAAAACAAAGTTGTAATGTACGTTTAACCGCGTGGTGGCGTTACCTTTGACGTACCACACTTTAACATTGCATATCAGCAGTTGGAATTATTATGTATAAAATGTTTGAGAAATTTAACACTGTAACTAAGTTTCCCTATAACGTATTATTACGTTTAAGGAAGCGATATTACTCAGGCGATACGTAGATGTTATTATGTGGGAGTTGCACATGTCCGGAAACTGAAGTGTCTGTACGAGTGTCAGCATACATGTAGTATTTATCCACTCAATGGCATGTTAAGAGCTTGTATAAGCTCCTCGAAGTGCCCTCACGTAAACAACCGAGTAGATCGTCAGTGACGTCCAGCAAATGTATAAACCACGAAAACAAGAATATCAATTATCTTTTGTCAAATCAGGATTCTAATTGAAGATTTCTACAAAGAATGGTCAATTCAGCTCCTTGCATTGCACAATAATTTCAAACTCCCCCGTTACAAAATAGTCTATTCCAGTCTGTTGCTAGGCAACAAGAGCATGTTAAAAGCTGGGTATCTCTCTTCAGCGGTTGCATTCCATTCTATCGACTTTGCTACCGTTGAGTCAAACACATCAGGCGTTCTAAAACAAATACGAAGCGGTCCATCCCACAATACAATGCTCTGCGTGGTGGGACCTCAACCGGGTACTTAAATGCGCACCACCAATCGGTCCGATCATTTTGGTCGCAGGTTCAATTACATGCATATCCAACTATTTGAGAACTGACACTCTTTCCCAAAAACCTGCTGAGATATTAGAAGTGTTCACGCAACTTGGGTGTGACTTTTTTTTTGCCGTTGGACTTACTGAGATTTTCCATTCCACCCGGCGGTGAGGAGCAAGTCGAAATGAATTCAACCACGGTTGTGTGCGTGTCCTGTCTACTCTGCGTTATTATAGTACAAGGTAGGTCGTGTCAATTTCATTGTAAAACTTGCTAGGTGTATATGCTTCGGTAACGATCAGTGACAAAACGTACCGTGTTTGCCAAGCAAACTTTTTTCCACAAGCTCTGTGTCGCTGAAAGCTGCAAATACTATCAGAACTCCACCAACGTTACTGCAGAATAGTAAAATAAAAACGCAAATGCACTTTAAGTATATTTTTAAAATATTATTTTTTTTAGCAAATAGATGAACTCGATCTGTAACAGAAAAAATATGATGAATATTCGCCGCCATTAACATTTAAATATTCAAAAATCATGAGAAAAGCTTGTAACTATAATGTACAGTTTGACGCATACTGCTTTGTGCTGTGGATGCGCAACTTTACAACTTCCGTCATAGGTGCACTGTCACCATACTGCTGTTACAAAAATACCCATTCTAGTTTCAGGGTAAATTTACCATATCCCGTTAAAAAGATGGAGTGACCGCGCCACTCTTAGTCTTCGTTTGTGGCCCAAAAGAATGAAACAAGTTTGGTGTGAATAATCCATGATGAAACAACAACATTATCCACGTCTTTCAATGATTTAATGGCCAGGCTGTTCAGTTGTTTCGAACATTTTTGATGCGCTGGTGGCGATAAGCACATTTGACAAACGTATTCAGAAGTCGATCAAACGACAAAGCCTTTCGTTTATTTTACATAAAATACTAGTACGTGATGATTGTTATTTTTAAAGGCTTTAAGCGTCACGTCGTAAAAAATATGCATAGTATCTTTTGAATAAAGTAATAAATATATATATATATATATATATATATATATATATATATATATATATATATATATATATATATATATATATATATATATACATATATATATATATATATATATAGTAACATTAGTGGAATTATTAACACCAGATCACACGGATTACAAAGATGTAGAGATAAACGGCGAATATCAAACGTTGGCAGCCCCCGGCTATAACAGACACGGCATTTGCTCAAAATAGTGTAAATTGGACTGTTTAGATAGTGCACTCCTAAGGGTCTCGTTGGTACTTGATTTTTTAATTGTCTGCGATAAAAAACGTGGAAATTACTGTTAATGTGGAAAAACGACCATAGTTTTTGTTTTAAACAGACGAATGATTATTTACTGTTTTAAGAGAAAAGGAATACTATATAGCACTGACCCTCCTCATGGAATAGTGAATGTCAGCAACAGTTTCTGACAAACACGATACACAGCGTACAATACACTGATTGTTCAGGTGGTCTATGTTTCAAAACTGCCCTCAATGACTATTACATTTTACATTACATTTTCGATATTTTTTGTTACAAATAACACAAAATCCGCGTTAGCTTTTGATGATTGGTCACAGAGACTGTGGATTGATAAATCACACTAATTTTGTGTCTTCACTGAATATATTACGTAATATTTGCTGCACTAATGAGAGTATTACAGCTGCAAGAAGGAGTGTTCAGTACGGTATGCTAAAATGATTTTTCTTACCTTTATCATTAAGTTATATCAGTTAGTCTATGTATGATTTTGAGGTATTTTTGTAGTTACGTTTTGATTTTTTAAAAATTTTTTTGATGTTTTTAACCATTATATGTTTGTTATTCAACTTTGTTTTGCTTATATTTTTTGAGTGTGGTTAAAGCTAACTATATTTTTGCAAAATATCGTCTGTAAATCATAGTTCATCGTATCTGGTTCTAAAACGGTGGATTAGTAGTTGTATAAATTATGACGACGATCTAAAGCAAAAACAAAAATTTGCTGAAAATAGCAAATGCTGAAACCAAGAAAAGATCAATAGTTAACAAGTTTAAAACTCGAAATTTAATAAAATCATTAATTATTATATCTATAAAATTTAAAATTTAACTAAAGGCTAAAAAATCAAATTGGCACTGATATCACTCCTAACTTTAGTGATTATATTATTCCTGAAGCTATGCTCTGCCAAAGATCTGGGACAGGATTCCATTCATAATACGACCAACCACTTACATAATGCAATTGTTACATCCTGGAATCCGGTTACGGTGCACGATACAAGTCACATCGGTCACATCGATAGGAGGTTTGATTGAAAATGACAGCTGGTTCACACGAAAGAAATCCAGTTAATAACAACATAAAAATTGAGTTTATAAGGTTGTAGCCAACACGTCGCTTTGGATGGCCTGATCTGGAGACACGTGTCAAGGAACGAACATCGTTGTCCTGATTTCAATTTAATTTCGACCAAAATAAAAACCCAAATAAACAATTTATTTACAAATGCTACATTTACATACTTGCTTCTGTATATATTACAAGCGTTTCCGTCAAGATGTTATCTTATTGTCAACGATGCACGCACGTCAGTTTACTCATAGAATTTTGCATGGAAACCAATTACAATGGGGAATTAGTGTATTTGAAATGAGAACTCGCCACAATTATGGTAAAGACGTCACAATACGTCATAAATTTTAGGCCTTCAATGCTTGACACAGTTATTCAATGCAAATTAGATAATTAGTACTGGGCTACAGGTCATGGATTGTTAACATGCTGATAACGTTTTTACAGATATAAATGATATGAATTAGCGAAAAACAACCCAGATAAAATACCATCTAAGGGAATGCTCAGTTTATGTGATGGGTTGTGGGCGAGCAACCGTAATGATACCAAATATGTGTTTTTTTCAGCGTTGTGTGTCATTTGCGGCGGGAGTGCGTTTAAGATGTATTAACATTATTGCATGGCGACTATATACACGAAACCCAAACTAAGTCACATCTAATAAATACACGAAATAGGAACACACTAGTCATGTGGCGTAGTTGCACACAATTTAATTTGTAATCAAGTGCGTTCGTTGTCATCGTTTTCTGCAACATTGTATTTTTTAAACAAAGAAGTGAATGGTTTTTCATTCACACAGTGATAAAGGCAGCAGTTTTGAACTTTGAACTATTCATTAAATACAAATAAAATTGTTTTTCCTAAAATTCTATCGACCTTCATAGATACACTCGATATCACGTGATTGGGTGATGATCACTCTAATAAGTGCTTGGTCGCGTAGTGACCGCAGTACAGGCGAATAATCATGCAGTTTACGGGCGCTAATTGCGAAAACCACAAGAGACGTGATATTCCGTTACCATCTTAAATAGATTAGATTTGTTGTAAGGTAACACTTGTATGGAATCGTCTTTGTAAATATTACGGGTCACCCTTAAGGTGGGTCAACAGTAATCTAAGTGCGCAATGTGGAGTTTGATCTTTCTATTGTATACGGGACTCCGTACTCTGTTTACACCATGTAAAATACTCACATGCAGCTGAGAAAGCGACCTTTGCTCTGATGACTACCCCAGTCGACGACCCTATTGACTCATTCGTGAGCTATATATGTTGCGACGTGCACATATAACTGTAAAGGGCTTCTAGTTAATAACCGCCGGGCAGGAACAAACATACTTAGCCAGCTGACAGCATTCGGCGATGTAGTACCATGACTTTGTCAACAATTAAAACCTCATTACACGTTGAACGCAAAGATAATACCTAGATCATAGATTTAAAAAAAACACGCTTGTCACATTGTATGTTTATTACCGATCGTATTTTGTGATATGTAAAACGATCTGAGATGTTCATACGTGTAAATAAATTGGTTCCTTTTCTTCAAACTCAGTTCAGTAGTGGATGACGTGTCTGTGCCCTGCAACGACGCATTCACACAGTTTTGTACGTGCCTATTCTCATTTTTCTGTCAAAATGGTAGATGTTTTTCATCTACATGCAATTGAATGATAGCCTCGTATTCGAACCCGATATCTAGACCAGCGCTATTCCACGACCTATTTCAACAACTTAGTGATATAAAACTTATTTAAGTTCTCGAAGATCCGATATCAGAGGTTCTCTCAGAGCCCATATCAGAGTTTCCCTTATAGCCCATATCAGAGGTTCTCTCAGAGCCCATATCAGAGGTTCCCTTATAGCCCATGTCAGAGGTTCTCTCAGAGCCCATGTCAAAGGTTCTCTCAGAGCCTATACCAGAGTTTCTCTCGGAGCCCATATCAGAGGTTCTCTCAGAGTCCATATCAGAGGTTCTCTCAGAGCCCATACCAGAGGTTCTCTCAGAGCCCATGTCGGAGTTTCTCTCAGAGCCGATATCAGAGGTTCCCTCATAGCCCATATCAGAGGTTCCGCTAGAGCCCATATCAGAGGTTCTCTCAGAGCCGATATCAGAGGTTCTCTCAGAGCCCATATCAGAGAATCTCTCAGAGCCCATATCAGAGGTTCTCTCAGAGCCCATATCAGAGGTACCCTTATAGCCCATATGAGAGGTTCTCTCAGAGCCCATATCAAATGTTCTCTCAGAGCCCATATTAGAATTTTTCTCTGAGCCCATACAAGAGGTCTCTCGGAGCCCATAT